GGTCTGATAATTACTGATTTTAGATGTTGTAATTATTATTATTTTCCTAGAGGGCACGTGTACTCACTAGAGAGATAAAGAGAAAGAGAGGGCAAGTGAAAAAGCATCCTCTCCATAGGGAATGGTCATGCTGCAATCGTTTCTCCATTCCTTCTTCCTTTTGGGCACACAGGCACAGGACCCAGTGTGCTTTTCCAGCTGCTGTGACTGGAACCTGCAATCTGCTACACGAGTTCCAGCTGGCTTAACCACTGTGTTGCTAGCTGGTCCACTCTATAATTATTTTTTTTAAGACTACTTTTTTTTTTGGAGAGGTTTTTTGCTATAGGGTGTGTGTGCTTGCCAGAAAGAGCAACAGAAAGTGAAAAATCACCCCCTGGGGGGATGGCCACGCCGCAATCCCTTCTCCTCCATTCTCCTCTAGGGATTTCGGGCATGCATGCACATGTGCCTGGTATGTTTTTTAAGCTGCCAAGTCCAGGATTCAAAATATGGAATGGGCCATGTAGGATTGAGCACTTCACCACCATGCCACCTACTGGTCTGTCCGTTGCTTTGTTAACCACTCAATCGCAACTGCACAGTTGATTTTATGACCTTTACAATGATAATTTATTGGGTCCTAGCCAGGCATTGCCCTTAGCATTGGACAAATGTTACACAATCAGCCTCAAGGCTATTCTTTAAGGTGGCTACTATCTCCACTGTGCAACTCAGGCACTTGAAACCCAAGGAGGCTAATTGGCTTGCTCAAGGCCACACAAATGGTCACCAGCAGAGACGTATTTTAAACATGGGTCTGTCTGACTCCAAAGCCCACATTCTTCCTACAATAGTGTACAGCCTCACTTTCCCTCAATATGAATAAATGAGGATCTGATGATTTATTAAATTTCTACTAGGGAGGAAGCACCATTAGCCTTGGCTACTTTTCTATTTCTAACACACCTAATAATGGGTAACTCTCTTTGCCTAAATAATGATACTATAGTCCTTCAACTTACTGTTATGAATTTGGAGGCACAGAATAGTCAAGGACATATTTTTAAGGCCACCCAGTGAGTCAGAGAGCTCTGATTCTTTTTTCTCTGTCCAATAAATACTCCAAGTAGGAGATGAAGTTTCATTTGTTCAAGGTCTGCCAAGAAAAACTGAACCATTAATCTGGGTCAAGAACTCTAGAATCTAATACACTAAAAAAGATGTCTATTTTCTTTTGATAGCTCCAAATGGATTGCCCTGTAACCTCCTATATTTGTTTCCAAACTTAGCTATACAGAACAATCACCTAAGAGGATAGGGGTCTGGATATAAGTATTTTTACACAGCTCCCAACCCAGTCAGACTGGTATGTGCTGCTAAGCTGTACTCCTCAGCTGGAACCACATGGTAAGCCCGAGTTCAATTCCCAGCCCAACCTAAATGCCAAGTGTGGTGACATGTATCTGTAATTCCAACAATTTGGGAGACTGAGGCAGGAGGCTCTTGAGTTCAAGGGTGTGGCGGCACACACCTATAGTCCTAGGTAATTGAGGTGTGAGGCAGGATAATCACAATATAGCACGACCCATTCTTTAAACACACACACACGGGACCAGCAGTTAGCATAATGGCTATGTCGCACATAGTCGACTGCGGTTTGCGTCCTGGACCCAGTGGCTTAAAACTCTCTCCGGGCGTGTGTGCGTGTGTGCCCAAGATCTCGAGAGGAGAATTGAGGAGAAGGGATTGCAGCGTGGCCATCCCCCCGGGGGGTGATTTCTCGCTTTCTGTCTCTCTGTCTCTCTCTGTCTGTCTGGCGAGCGCACGCACCCTTAGCAAAAACCTCTCAAAAAAAAAAAAAAAAAAAACCACCACACCCACCAAACCAACATCTCTTGCCTCTAAAGGCAAGGTCAGTATCTCAAAAAAAAAAAAAAAAAACAAAACACACACACACACACACACAAAACAAAACTAGCACTGGTGTGAAATTCAGGAATCGCTGATCATGTAGAGAAGACAGAAATTGTGTAGTTATCTATTGTTTCCTGACAAATTATAAAACTTACGAGCTTAACACAATCACCACTTACTGTCTCAGTCTCTGTGCAGCACCATTGTGCTGTTTAGCTGGGGACGTCTGGCTCAGGTCTCTACAAGACTGTAATTAAGATGTCAGCCAGGGTTGTAGTCATCTCAAGGCATGAGTGAGAGAGGATCTTTTCCCAGACTCAACTCACATGGCTGTTAGCAGGATCCAGTTTTCAATAGGCTGATGGACAGAGGGCCTTGGTTCCTTGCTGATGGCTGGCCAGAGGCCTCCCTCAATTTGTCACATGGATCTCTCTGTAGTACAAGCTCACAGTATGACACTGGCTTCTCTAAGACTGAGTGAAAGAGACCAAAAGAGAGCAAGCGAGATGGAAGCCATAATTATTTTGTATAGTAGAGAACTACCATGGCCAGGTGATCATGGTTAATATAACAGTAATAAGTAATGCTAATATCATGTATTCCCTGATATAACGCAGTAAGGCATCTCATTGTGTGGTATTTTCCTCAAGCCCTATAATCAGTCTAGCATGAGAAAATCATCAGACAAATTAAAAACGAGAAACATCTTACACGACGAATGACTGGACTTCTTAGAACAGCATGGTCAAGGTTATTAAAACAAGAAGAGATTTGTTAAACTGTCACAGGCTAGTAGAGACCAAGGAGACATAATGACTAAAGGCAATGTGGCATTTTGGAGTGGATTCTGAAATTTACTCAATGGATTCTGAAACAGGACATTTGTAAAATCTGAATAAAGCCTACAATTTAGTAAGCAGTAATGTATCAATGTTTAAGTTTATAAATGTAATGTATCAATGTTTCTAAGTTTATAAAAGTATCATGGTAATTAATGTAAGATGTATCTCAATAATGTAAGACTAGGGGAGACTTGGTGAGGAGCACACAAGAACTTTCTGTGTTATTTTTGCAACTTTTCTGTAAATCAAGTCATTCAAAAGTAGAGTTTATTAAAAACAAAAAACAGTGCCAACAAGCAGTGTGGTGGTTAAGGCACTGGACTCCCACATGGCCGACTGTGGTTTGAGTCCCGGACCCAGTGGCTTGAAAATCATGCTGGGGACATACGTGTATGTGCACCCAAAATGCTGAGAGGAGAAAGGAGGAGAAGGGACTGTGGTTTGGCCACTCCCCCAACCCCCCATGAGTGGGACTTCTCACTTTCCCTGTGTCTGTCTCTGTTTCTCCTGTAAATGCACACACTATGACAAAAACCTTAAAAAAAAACAAGAAAAAAGAAAAGAAAAGAGGCAAAGTATCCTTCTTCCTGTTTTAAAGCCAAGATGACTATAAGATTTTCCCCTACATTATCTTATGGCTCAGCACATTCCAGATCCTTTTACCTCCTCTAGCCATGTACTTACAGTGCCAACTGCCATTGATAGGCCATTTGTGTCACAGTATTGAGAGATGGTCCAGAACATGGCTAGGAGTAATCCCAAAAGCCATTGCTGCATCAGAAAAGTCAGCGATGTTATCATAAAAGGGCCCAGGTTCAATTCTTCTCTTTTTTCCCTCATCCAGATTCCCAAAATGTCCATGGCCATCCCAGGTCACCTACTCCTAAAGGGAAGTACGAAAAAAGGAAAGTTGGGAAGAAAAAATAGAGGTCAGAACCAATTCCTGTTCGAGCAGTGTTTTAAGACACCATCCTATTTAAAAGTAGAAAACAACACATATGACCATGTGCTCTCAGTGCTGGGGTTCCTCACCGAGCCTTGAAAAGGGCTGATGCAAGTCAGGGGGTGTGAAGCATAAGCTTCAGTAGCTTCGCAGTAAATTCACCCTATAAAGAGCTCAGAAGAAACAAGTGACTTTTGCCAGAAATGCTACCATCAGCTGTCTTTACCCCCTCAGCTCAGAAACTCTTGCTCATTCCTCAGCTTCTGGCCAAGCACCCACCTCTCTGAAGTGTGCCCTGAGTCACCCCACAGGCTTGCTATTTCTCCCAGGCTCCCTCCATGCTTCCATTATAGAACTAGATCATATGTGTTAAATCCGTAATTTTATCTCCCTGTCATACTTAAGGCTTACTTAGGGCATGGGCCAAGGCTTTTTTTTTTTTTTTTAATCTTTGTACTTACTGACATAGAGGGCTCCAACAAGCCATTAATGGAGTGAATGAATTAATGCTCTTGCTGAAGAAAGGAAGCCCTCTCCTGGAGAAGTCTTGGCCCATCAGGGCAAGAATATCAGAGCTCCAGTGGCCTGCTGAGGCGCCTCCTGAATCAATTGCAAAGGGAGGGTGAGAAGGACAGTCAACAAGCTACAGCCTCTTGAAAGGCTGAAAATCAATACTGCCAGCTTTCTCACCTTACAGATGAGTAGTATATGACGCCTACACCCATTACCATGCCGAATATGGTTACCTATAAATGTAGCGATCACATTTATGTGATTTCGAGTTAAATAATTAACTACTTAAAAAGCACATGCTCCCAATGAATCAGACTAAATAGAAGGTGGATGGAAGACATAAAGTAAACCCCAATCCAGCAAGCACTGTTAACGACCTGCCGTCCTACTCCCATCAAACAAAAACACGCTCCCCGGATGTGAGGTCCCAGGGGCGAAGTTCTGCCCGGTGAACTCAAGTCCCCCCAGTGTGGGATAAACAGCTCAACGTATGTCAGGTTCACAAGGACTGAAGACCCACAGCTTATTTCCAGCTCATACACACTTACGGCTCGTTCAGGACGTAAGTCTCTGGGCAAACCTAGAGCATGACGTTTACAAACAAAAGTACTTCCCAGGGCAAGGCACTAAAGACGCAAAGCGAAGCCCGCGCGAAAGTGCACACGCCTCACCGATCCCCGCGCGTGCGCACACAGACTGTGAATGAAGGCTGCGGACGCTAGGGGCGATTGTCTCGTCTTCCGCCAGAGGCACCATGGGCCCGCCTCCGAGCCGGAACAAACAGCTGATTGGTCGGCTCGGCCCTGGCCCGGGGCGGGGATCGGCTGATTGGCAGCCACGCGCCGGGACAGCCAAGCTGGAAGCCTGAAGAGCTGGTTGAGGTGCTGGCTGCGGTACGGCCGAGGTGAGTGGGACTGAGAACTCCGACAGGCGGTTGGCGACGGAGTAAAAGAGGTGACTCCGGGGACTGATGGCCGTGGGCCACCAGAATAACAGGGTGGGAGCCGAAGAAGCCTGGCTCGGGAATACTGAAAGGCTGAGGGCTCCGTGGGCCGGTTAGGTGTTTGCGCCGCGGCCGAAGGAAGGCGGAGACGTGCTGGGGCAGCCGGGGGGGGGGCCTCC